TGAATTTTGCTAAATTTAAATTCATCACTGTCTAGAGAACACTGTTAGAAATTTTTAATGATGCTGAGGTTCTTGTATATCTACCTCACTAAACGTTACGTTAGTGACTAGAAAATTCTACAAAATGACATAATGATAATAGCATTATTTGCAGCAACATTAAGTTTTCAGCTTAAAAGTTCCAAACTATGAAAAACCATTAAGAACATCCAGTGTGAGTATCGCATCAAGTCAGTTAAATTTCTGGTCTGATCAGTCAAGTAGCAGAGGTTTGTTAGATTGTTAATCAATTTCAGCTCTTTTATTCTTAATGCAATGAACAACAGGTGCACAAAAGGCAATGATGAAAGAACAATTAAAACAAATGATTTTACACGTGGAAATCACTGGCATTTTCCCCTTTTACTTTTTCTGCGTGTTTCTTCACTAGTTTTGTATTTGGCTATGGTCAGTGTCTTAGCTGGTAGCATGAAGAAAAACATGGACTCCAACTCCTCCAGTACGGCAGAGGAGTGTGTGTCTCTGGTCCAGTGGATTCCGGGTTCCTACTGGCACACAACAATACACATGAGGAGAGAGCATACAAGGACTTCCTGAAGACCAAGTGAACTGTATAAGAGTAGAGTTTAGAGTAGAGCTGCAGTGAAGATTAGTTACAGAGCTGGACTCAATTTAGTTTATTTTATTATGAGAAGTTCATAGACCAAACCAAAGAGGTAAACTGCCTTTAATTTACCAAATTATAGTGAAATGCAGCCTGAAAATATAATAATATAAATCACATTTTATAGTCCGGGAAAGTCTCATCTAATGTTACAGAGAACTGACACGACTTCATTTGCATGAAGTTATAAAAGATACCGAGACCTGCGGATGTATCCTGGACAGGAAGAGAGGGAGGAGGAGAGTTGTGATGCTTCATTAACTGAGTGTGAAGATTTATTTGCAAATTTACAACCGACGTTTTAAACCAGTGTCACCTTTCCCTTTGAGTTTTCAAGCAGAATTGTGTAATGATAATCTCCAGTCTACAAATATGGAAAAACAGGCATTTTCAGAGCATTTCTTTAGAGTAAAACAGTTAAATGTGGTTACATGTTAATTATGTTCTCATATCTCCACCTTACTAAAATGCAACAATTTCAGGTTAGTCATTCTGAATTTATGTTAGTGGCTACTTTGAAAGTGTATTCTTGCTTACTAAAAAGTAAAATATTTTATAGCCAATGCTTTTATTGATATATGAAAAATAGCAGTTTCTTTGAATATCTGCAAATAAACACATGACTTAAACATTTTGCTTTACTCTGATTTTTAACATGTATCACATCAAATTATATCAAATTTATGTGTATAGCACATTTAAAGACCAAAGTACACCAAAGTGCTTCCCAGTAATACCATAACACAAATAAAATCACAATATAAAAAATATAAATTACAGATATAAAATAATTACATAATGTAAATGCAGAGTCAGATGAAAATCACTCTAATTAGCCTCAGATGCTAGGTTAAACAAGATTTAAAAGATTGAATAGACTCAGATGCGCGAATGTCAAGAGGAAGATTATTCCATAATTTGGGTGCGGCAACAGCAAAGGCACGGTCTCCTCTAGTCTTCAGCTGAGATCTAGGTTGCACTAAGAGCAGTTGACCCGATGATCTTCGTGCTCTCTAAGGGCTATACAGATTGAGGAGATTAGCTAAGTAATTAGGCGCCGTATTATTTAGACTTTTATAAGTAAACAATAAGATCCTAAAATCAAATTGATATTTAATAGGAAGCCAGTTTAAGTTGGCTAGAACTGGGGTGATGGAATCATACCTTCTAGTGCCGGTTAAGAGACGTGCTGCGTTATTTTTTTAGCAATTACAATCGCTGAAGGAGGGAAAATTGGAGTCCCAAGTTAAGAGTTACAATAATCTAGTCTTGAAGTGATGAATACATGAATAAGTTTCTCTAGATCTTTACGTGGTAAGTAAGGTAGACCGAACATGCAGACTTAGCAAACAGCAGAAGCATAAAGAGGCATATTGTAAATGCACATTCTGATCCTCAACTATTCAGTGGGACATTCTGACAGCTTGATAGTTTTGTGTAAAGTCTGCGAGCCCAAAGACACTTTACATGTATAAACCTTATCCATGTTCCAGTCTGATGTCTGGATGGTCAGAGAGCTGCTGATTTGGTAAGTCTGGTCTGGTCTCTGAACAGCAGTGCTGGTAGAGATCCCACTGCTCACTGGACTCCTAGCAGCCAACCAGCTCACATCTGCAAAAGGCACAGACTGACTGGACAAACAGACCAGAGAAGCTGTGTTGGACTGGAGCTCAGCACTGGACGGAGGGAAGACTGTCAGGACAGGAGGAGGGAGGCTGGAGCCTGAAAATACATGAAGTACATTTTTATAAAAGAAAAAAAAATCAAAAGATAGAAGATAACGAGAAATTAGAAATTAAGCAATGATAACGAAAGAAATCAATCAACAGCAGTCAATATGGAATAAACATAATATTTATAATGAAAAACAGCCTGCATAAATATATTGAAATAATAATCCAACATTGAATTTCTTTTTAAAATTTACCAAAATAAAATATGACTAGCTACTCGGATTTAATTCTGCAGGTTTCTGCATAACATGTCAGCTACTGTGAATCATTTACTTTCATTTTGAAGAAAATTTTTGGACCAGGTTCTCATCATTTAAAATTAAATTTTAACACTGTTAACTACTATTGAAATAAGAGAAAACCCCCCAAAAATCTTTATTCATGTCAAAATCTTATTAATTTCAAATTAGTGCTTTTGTTATTGATGTCATGGTCCTGGGTCATGTGACTCAGTGTTTTGAGTTTCATTGTATTTTGTTAATTATTTGTGATCTGTTTTCATTTTTAGCTTGTGTACTTATTTTCTCTCAGGCATAGGTGGCTGTTTTAGTCCTTTGTTTTTTAGGTCCTTTCGTGTCATCACCCCTTGTGTTTTAATCTCCCTTGTTGGTTTCCTGTTTATTTTGAAAGTCTTGTTTCTATGTTCTGTGTGCTTATTTTACTCTTACCCTGTGGTGTCATTGTGGTTTTTGTGTCAGCT